AAAAATATGAATGTTGTTACTCGAGTTGTAACTATGCTAGAAAACTTTAATGATATCATTGATTGGCCTTATTCATTATACAACCATAACCATTATTCCAGAGATAGCCAGATAAATCAACTTCAAGGTATTTATTTCCCAACCTTCGATTTCTTCTTCGGCCGTTCCGCTTCCGACATATCCGCATCTTCATCATCGTCACCGCCGCCGCCATCAGAAGCATCGTCCATTTCGGCGTCACTCCCGCTGCCACTGCTTTCGTGGGCCGAGTCGAACTCTTCCGCAACGTCAGACTCGGACTCGGCCTGGAAGTCCTCGTCGATAGATTCTTCATCCTCGTCCGCCGATCCACGATCGCACGTACGCCCTCGTCATCGCTGGAACCCATATCGTCGTTGTCAAGGGCAGCAGCCAGCAGGGCCCCGGCATCGTCGGACATCTCGTTCTTGAATCGGATGTTCTTCGCTTTGAAGAATTCTTCGAGAGGTTGTTGTTCCTCACTGAGCCACGTTAGCATCACTACAATAACTCGAATCATCGCATACGTACCGGTTAATGTTACTAAATTGATGCTCTCCCATACCAGCCTTCAAGCTGACTGAAATATCGAAGGTTCTGCTGGCCGACACGGCACCACCGACACGGGACATCGTAATAATGGCAATGTTCTCGATCTGAATGTACGTAGCAGGCTTCGGGACGAAGATCAAGCTCTTGTCCAAGAAGTACAGAAGACCTTCGTTGGCCTTGATAGAGCATTTAACCCCACTATGACCATGATGACTACGCATCAATGTTAGCATTCGTGTGCCATCATACGGATTGTGAAAAGAGTATGACAAACCTGACAAAGTCCTTCGATGGCATGATGACCTTCTTGCCCGAAAGACCGCGGAAAATCTTGGTTACGACCTGATGAATAGGTTCCTCATAACGAGGCTCCAACTTGTCCTTGTAGCGAGTCTCCATCAATTCACTGCATACTATGTTAGATGGCCCCGGGAACGGAATACCGTCCAGCATCACTTACTCAGTCATGTTGAGCTCAAGGCTAATTTCTTCGTCCAGCTTCAATTGCATAACCAGGAATGGGTACCGAGTCTGACCCTGTCGCAGAGGGGGATCGAGGCCGAGAACAATGAGCGTATGTGTATCGTCATTCTTAGGAAGCAAGAAGAACTTCTTGATAGAAGAGTACTGAATCTTGTAATCGTAGGTTTTGCCACGTAGTCGGAACGAAGACTCGTACATGTCGATGTCGAAACGACCTCTGAAATAAAGGTCAACGTCGTACTGGCATGATGAGGGCTAAGGTAGACGTACCTGGGCGTAAGATGAAGAACATCCAGAAAAGTAGCAAACGTATCGCCAGCCACATCGCCAATCTCTGCTTTTTCCATGAGCATTTCGTAGAAAGGTTGGCCGCATTCTGTTCTTCGCCTTCTTCCTCTTCTTCGCCGTTTTCTTCTTCGCCATTATCTTCCTTGATGCCCTTCTCGGTCTTCACTACTGTTCCAGGGATGTAAAAGCGCATCTCCACCAACTCATCGGGGCCCGAAGCAGCCTTCCGGCCACGGTTCTTGGTGCTACCGGCTGGCTGGGCATTGGCATCGGCGCCATCGGCATTAAGAGCGAGTTCGACAGCCACTTCATTCTTTCCTGCAAGATTCGTGTTTGAGATTTCGGAATACGGAACTTCGAACGCCGGTCGGTTTTGGACGTTGAAAGATAGCTCAGCCTTGGTGAATTCTGCCTTGCCCCAGTTCCAACCTCGGAGAGCGTGCTCCCTGCTTTCCACGTTTATCCCATACCAAATCTTAAAGGCCTTGCTTAATCGCTCGAAATCCTGGCAGATGACGAAACAACGTCAGATCACCATACTCATAAACATATAACAAGGGGTGTACCTCTTGATCGAAGCCATCCAGTTGGATGACGCCCGACGAGCGCGACAGAATCTTCAGTTCGTATCCCTTTGCCGCTCGACTCCATTGAGCTGCGCCGACATTGCTGCTATCGAGGGTAAAAGTCTCGCCTCCACCAGAAGGCTTCCATCCCAAGCCACTTTCCGCAAGCTTACACTTTCCGGGTTGCTTGGAGAGGTCGAGGTAGATGTTATCGAAGCTCTCCCTGGAGAGAAGATTAGAGAAATGGACAAATGGCAACTACCGCGGATGAGCCTCACATTTTGGAGAAGCTTTCAAGACGTCCAGATAAAGGGCACCCCTGTATGAGTTTCGATTATTGTATGGTGATTCTCTGAATGCAGCGACAAAGTTTAAATAGGTGATGAAGGAAATTGTATGGTATCAGTGCTTGTCCAGCGATAGAGTAACAGGAGGCTATCACCTATTGAGCTCTAATATAACCTTTTTTCTGGAGTCTCGCGTTGCGCGCGGCTGTCGATGGTTCATACGCGGTGCGGCAAGACACTAGTCCAAGGTAGGTAAAGTGGATTGGCGGCTGGCCTGGGATACCCGCTGCCTTGGATACCTCAGGCAGCATCCAACTTTCTCCGGTACAATATATACGACCAAGTTTAAATATCATTTGAGTCAGTTATCGAACTGTCTAATCTAAAATGGACTCATCACAGTAGATTTACAGATTGTAGCTCTCTATCGTATTCAATTTAGGAGTCAACATGAACTGGTAACTATCAGCACCACCTGTATTGTTTGGATATATATACTAATACTTTATTGAGCTTGAAGTTACTGGCCATTGGTCGACTGCTAACGTGAATCTCATTGTGTAGTTATAACAGTCTAGACATCGTAAGATCCCGAGTGCATAATTAGCATCGAGTTGTACATTCAAACTCGGATATCACACCCATCAATTGCACTTCTCAGTAGTCATTCGATATCCTCACACCTCGGTGACTGTCTCTATAGAACCAACAGTTGGTGTGACTGTTCGCTCTACAAAGAAAGTGAGGAGTATGGGATGGTGGAACATGTGAAACACAACATATCTGTTCCACCCATTAAATACAGATTCGAGCGGATGTTACTCATTGAGAGCTTGTAGTGTGGCAAAGCTCCCCTGATGTGTAATGTTGGTTTCATTGCCCTCGAACCACTTTAGGATAATGAACTGCGAATTTAGCGTATCTCAGTTGGTGTTCCTGTTACCTTTCTGTGGTGGAAACTACGTAGACGACATATCTCGGTTTCGCTCCCTGAATAGTCTTTGAACATAGGCAGCGTGATTCTTCACAGCACGCGATACAGTAGGTGGTCTTTGTTTCTCGCAGTAATCGCTTTTCTAGCCTCTATTACATCATGAAGCTCGCTCGATTCATAGTTATAAAGAAGTGTTATTACAGGGACCTACTTCAAACGCATCCAATACATGTAGCCTCTCAGCTATCGATCAAATTTCTGAAAAGGCTTAGTAGGGATTGAAGGGCATAAGATCATAGAAGCTTCGATCTGTACCAATATCTATTGCTCTTGCCATTACTTCTGGCTAAGACTTGATAATAGGTTATTTTTCTCTTTAGACCGCGGAATGTGCATTTCGCGGGTGTATGGCTGTGTTGTCTAATGCCGAATTCTCATTGCAAAGTTCACACGCCTCTTAGATCAATTTCTGAAATGAAACCTGGGAGTAATTTTTGATAGCGAGGCACTACAGGGTACAAGAATTAACGAGCTCACCATAAGTGTCGGCAGAAGGTTGGTGGCTTGTGTGACTACCGAGGGCATAGCCATTGATTGTTGGTTGTGGATACCTAGTACGTATGTAGAGGACATCACATCCCCTATTATTAGTACCTCTTACGAATTACTCACTATATCCGTCGCACAGAGTATGTGCATATCCTAGATGGCTAGCTGCTGGCCGCTTCGAGATAGAATCTTGAAGAGCGCATCTGGTAGAAGCACACCGCATGGAGCGTCAATTGGGCTCTTATGCATGGTATACAAGCATTCGTACATATACATCTGCAGCCAAAGGGCTGGACAAGCCCTGTGCGACCTTTTCATCTCCCACATAGTGTTGATTACGGCTACCTGCAACCTGTTTGGTTCCAATGCGCCTGCAGACAGGTTCATTGGCCTCATTGGGGATATTCTACAGAGGACAAGGTCGTAGTGATGTGATATTCCAAGTTTGAGTAGGTAATTATCCGATAAGGGAAAAATACAAACAAAACCTGTCTCCTTACTCCTCCAGCACCTCTATAAATATACGATAGCCACCGACATGATGTCAGGGGAATACTTCATCTTCCAAGTTCGAGCGATGAACGAACGATTCCTAATTTTAAGGTAGAGTAGTGATTAGGTAGCCAAGATTGAGGTCCATCGTGCCCACTCACTTTTTTGGTTTAGGGTGACACCCACAACGATAGGCGGTTCGATAGTTCCCCCTTAGGCTTTACCCTTGGGAGACTTTAGCGATCGTTGGTACAGCTTGGCTTTTGCCATTGCCATGGAAAGATTAAATTAAATTAAAACCAGATGAACCGTTTTTTCTCTTTTTTTTTTGGCAGACAGGTTATCTTTGTCGGATAGTACGGATAGATCCATGAGACAATATGAAAGTTCAAGGGTGGAGAGAAGGAAGTGGACCGACAGCAACAGGCAGAATCAATTTAATCTCTTTTTAAGGATCTGGAACAAATTAGCTATTAATAAAACTCCACTAGTCTGCGTCGACGGCCAGACAAACACCACGCACTTTCCCGTGTCATTTCCCACCCGCCACCCCGAAAGAGTTTAAGGCGTACCCGTGAGGAATGAAGGAAAGAAAAAAATACCGGACGTGCTCCAAAGCCCAAGCTGACTGTACCGTACCAGGAGGAACTTAACTAACTGAATGGACCTGAAAACCACACGCAAGGAGAACAAACAACCTATTATTTGCCCTTGCCATGTCACTCTTTCGACCCTCCTTCCACCCTCACCCAGTCATTCGTTAATCCTCTTGGTCATTCCTTATTCTTTAGTATTATTCTTCCTTTTCTTGTCCTGCCCATTCCTGAACCTCTCCAGTTTTCAAAAATAAAACGGAGAGCGCCATTCGTTCATTACCCCTTGTCTGTTTTCTTGATGTTTTTGGTTTTTCGGTGTTCACAAACTACATTCCTTTCTCGACTCCTTTTCCAGCATTATTCGCGTGCTTCGTGTTGATACATCGACTCCATAAAAATAGACCATTTGCTATCGTCCGATCGTTCCGCTTCTCCCCCCTCTTTTCGTCACCATCATTGGGCAAGGACAAGTCGAATTTCTAACTATCTAGCGACCCTCTACAGTGCGCCTGTCGTCGCGCTCCTGGACAATGAGGAACCCCTCACTGTTTAGGCCTGCGACGGCTGGCTTGTCGACAGCCCTCTGCTTGGGCTCTCTACTGCAACTGTCCCCCGCCTCGGGACTATCATTTACACCGGTCGCACAACCCGACTTGCAACTGGAACCTCTAGGACGGGTCGCCCTTACCGGAGATTTCGATGCGGTCTCGTTTTACTCGTATAAGGAACAGTCGGAGACGGCCTCAGTGAAGAATGGCGCCCAATCCATCCTGACGCCGCTCCCAGATGGCATCCTAACGACGCTGTCGACCTCCGATGCTTATATTCGTGCAATGTGCCCGTTCACGCAAAAAGATGGAAAGTACGCGGGAATTTTTGTCGGCGGAAATTTTACAAGCCTCGGAGGCGTGGAAACCCAAGGCGCAGCGTTGTTCGACCCCGAGACGAAGAAAGTGACGGCTTTACCCGGCCTGTCGGGATCTGTTTCCGCGGTACTGTGCGACAAGGATACGAACAGCGTGTATGTTGGCGGGGATTTCAAATACGAAAATACGTCGAATGCCGTGGCGTGGGTTGGCAATGAAGGTTGGAGGAGCTTGGTCTTCGGTGGATTCAATGGTCCCGTTACCTCGATCTTGAAGAACGATAATCATATTATCTTCGGTGGCTCGTTCGACGGCATTGGCAACTCGACATCGTCCAAGAAAAACCAGCAGATTGTCAACCTCCAGGACGCTACAATCTCCTCCGACGCGGTTTCCAGCAGAAGTGGCTATAGTGATCCTCGAAACATTATCTGCCAGACGAGCGGGGAAGATGGCGAAGGGAAAACATGGCTGTTGGAGGACAACTCCCCCGGTTTCTGGCGTGCCGACATGCGCTTCGGATACAACCCCACAAAGATCCGCATCTACAACACCCACTTAGAGGGGAGAGGCACCAAGACCTTTTTGCTGAGAAGACTACCGGATAATGGCATTATGAACCTGACCTATACTGACCCTGATACTGCGAATGACGTCTACTGCGACCAGGATTGTTCACTCTCTGATAGCACAGCTGAGAAATATCGCGAGTTTGAATTTGTGAATAGTGTTGGCATGAAGGGATTCCAGTTAGAAATTAAGTCCTGGTATGGAGATGGCGCTGGCCTCAATGGAATCCAGCTTGTGCAGAACGGTACGTTGATTGATCGAACTTGGCCCAGTTGAAGTACTGGTTGCTAACAATTCATCCAGATATTTTCGCTTATGCGATCAATGATTTCAATGAACCTACATGTGCTGACCTCAAATACCCATCCAAGGCGACACAGACAGGTTCTTGGACGACGACCGAATCGGGTCAGAGCCAATCTGACTATTTGACGGCGAGTATCACCGACTCCACTGCGTCTGATACTTCTATTGTCTTCGAACCGGATGTCAAACAGTCCGGAAATTATTCTGTGGTTGTTTACACTCCTGGATGCACCCAGGACGGCACTTGCGGCTCGCGAGGTGTGGTCAACGTAACCGCCACCGTCAAGAGTAACAGTAAATCGGCAGAGCCTATCCAAAAGACGATCCACCAGACAAACTTGAACGACAAATATGACACCCTCTACACTGGTCCTGTGGATTCCAGTGATGGCTCTTTCCGGCCCAGCGTAACCCTAACTCCGGTAGCAGGCAGGGTGATGTAACCATTGTTGCCTCCAGGGTCAGGTTTGCGCTTATCCGGGCATCAGAGGGGCTAGATGGAGAATTGAACGGCCTGTATGACTTTGATGTCGCCGCGAAAACCACCAGTTCCAATTTTACCGAGTCTGCAGTCAATCGAGCTGGGCTCCAGCTGGACGAGGATGCCACCGTAAGAAGCTTGGCTACCCACGATGGCGTGATATATGCTGGTGGAAACTTCTCAAGCTCGGGGATCAAGAACATCCTGTCCCTAAAGGATGAGGCAAACGCGACAGCCCTACAGCAAGGTGGTTTGAACTCGGAAGTGTCTTCGATGACGGTATTGGATGATATTCTATATGTTGGTGGCAATTTCACCGATACTTCTGACCGTAGCAATAGCGATTTGAAACATGTCGCAGCTTATTCTTTTGGCTCGAAAAGTTGGATAGCGCTGGGAGGAGGTGTCAATGGGCCTGTACACAAGGTCGTTCCGCTTACGCTCAACGTCTCTACGGAGATCAACGAAACGACCATCGGTGTGACTGGCGATTTCAATCAGTTGCTCGCCTTCGATGACAATACATTGGTTAACGTTACCGGCTTCGCAGTCTGGGTTCCGTCAAAGAAGAATTGGCTACAGAATCTGAATGTCACCCAGATGGCTTTCGCTGGTCAGTTGTCGGCTTGCACCAAGGTGGATAACACCACTGTTATTGCCGGGACTCTCTCCTCCGCCGGAATTGCCGCGGCAGGTGCTGCGGCCCTCCTCCATGACGGTCCGCTGAGCATCAAGCCGCTCTTCGCCAGTGCCAACTTCACCGGCGAAACCTACACTGGGATTTATGACACGCAGTCCAACCGCAACCTCACCATTGTAGGTGGTCACTTTACAACCACTGGCGGCGACGGATCTTCGGTGAAGAATCTTGCCCTGCTCGACGGTAAGGCGGGCACCATCAAGGGTCTGGGAACCGACATTGACAGCAACTCCACGTTCTTGGCCTTGACTACCTGGAAGGACAAGCTGTACGCTGGCGGAAATGTCACTGGCACTTTCGAAGACTATATCTTGAATGGGTTTGTCGTATACGACCTCGAGAATGGGACCATTGCTCGGAAACAGCCACCACGATTCACAGGCGATGCAGCGACCGTCAATTCTATCGCCGCTCGTCCTGACTCGGATGAGATCTATTTCGGAGGCCAGTTCGAGAAGGCCGGAGCGCTTCCTTGCCCGGGGGTCTGCTTCTGGGATGCTAATGACCAGCAGTGGAACAGACCTGGTGTATTATCGGGTAACGTTTTGGCACTGAAGTGGATATCCAATAAGAAACTGCTGGCAATCGGCAATCTCACCGTCGGGGGAAATGTGTCCGCGCTCGCGACGTACACCCCCAAGAAGCAGACCTGGGAATCTTGGACCACTGCATCTGATCTTCCGGGAACCGTGACTGCTTTCACCCCTGCTAGTGTGGACGTGTCCACGTTCTGGCTCGCAGGATTTTCCCAGAACGGCTCCAGCTACCTTGCTAACTACGACGGATCAAAATTCCAATATCCTGGGGATCTCTTTGACTCTGGTACCACTATTCGTAACCTTGAAGTGCTCTCCCTCAGCAAGGATCATTCCGGAGTCGACGTTCTACACAAAGACCAGGTTCTCCTGGTCACCGGCCAGCTGGTGATTCCTAACTTTGGGAATGCATCCGCAGCACTCTTCAATGGAACCGAGTTGACCCCATTCATGCTTAGCTCGAATGCGGATGGCCAACCGGGCCACATGGCTCAACTGTTCTACGAGAACGATAACCCTTACAGCAGCGAAGGTAGGCTTTTCTTTTTCTTTGTACTTAGAAGATCATGTGGTCTTGTGGATACTAACTTGTGCAGTTGGGAACCATCGCTCCAACGGGATTGTAGTCTTAATCTCATTCTGCTGTGCACTTGGCGCTGTGTTCTTGATCGTCATTGCCGGGGTGATCTTCAATAAGATCCAGCGGCGCCGCCAGGGCTACATGCCGGGGCCGCAGGCATACGGGACCGATCGGCCCTCCAGCATGCAGCGGTTGCCTCCGGAGTATCTGTTCAGCACTCTGAAGTCACCGAACCCGGGCACCCCGGCGATCTGAACGCTTTGAGTACCGATACGTCCACCACATCACATCTAAATTGGACCTCTTTTTGATCACTCAGACCGGCGTTCTTGGGCAGAAAACCGTCTTATACCCGTAATTTAATCCGTTTTATGTTTTGCATCTCTACTTTTTCATTCTCCCCGGGCCTATCCCGGGTGGTACGCTGTTCACTTCTTTTGCCTTGAGGTGCTTCGACATCCTCTCGTGTTTGATCTACCTGGGACTTGTCTATATAATCCTAGGTCGGCCGCGTCATTTCTTTCATGAAACCTTTGTTGTTGATGTTTGTACTATAGTCTTTCCCTGGGGTTCCCGCCGGGGGGACACCAGGAGGCCATGTACATAGCTCCCCGCGCGAGATCGCGGTAATGACAATCATGCTCGTTTTCTGCACATCGCGATGGTTGATTCCGGTATCCCGCTTGGCCATTGGCTGGTTTGCCCCGAGACAGCTGGAGATACTAAGTAGAAAAGTGGGGCCTCACTCGGGCTGTTGGATCTAGCGTGGGAGGAGATTGGCGGAAGACCTGGCTGAAGCGACACCCAGCCATCGTATAGTCGCCATGACACTGGTCCGTGATCTGACTGTCATGTTTCGATCAACCCTGGCCTCTCGTGAACCCGCTGATCGTGAGGTCATGGTGCATAGGGGATCGAATGAGCTGTTGGCGGGGATTGGGGCGCTGGACTGATAAACGAGGAACTAAAAGAAACGGGAACCGATGAAGCGGACGGACACGAATGGGCTACCCATGGTTTGGGTATCGTGGCATCGTTTGGGGCGTCATTTGCGCTTGTCAGTGGACGGAGGCCGCGGTTCAACCATTGAGTAATTGCTCGGAGTGATCCACTATGGAATGATCGCTGGAAAGGGAACATGCCAAAATGGAACAAGATTGAAGGACAATGGTGGCAGCGGTGGAGAGGGTGCGTGGGGAGCTTTCGGTTTTGCATTGGACTGCCAATTTTAACGGGAAAAGAAAGAAAAAAAAAGAAAAATTGGGCGATCGATGTCCAATATTGGATGTATCCAAAGTAGTCGTTGTATGGAAAAGATGGTAGCGTCTAGACAAATGCCCGTACTAATGTATGTACCGTACTCGGTATGGTAACGCTCAGCTCAGCTTCCTCCCCAGGTCCCAAAAACCCCAACTCCTGCATTGTCCCCCCTCAACTTTCTCTCCCCCGCAAGGACGCCGCGACCACACCACCAGTGCCGGACAAATACAAACTCCGCCGTCCCTGCCAATGTGAATCGCCATGAGGGTCCGATTTAGACTGTTTTCGGTCTTAGTGGTTCCCCATTTGGGCCTCCAGTGGCTCCGTCGCTTCCATTCCCCGCTTTCTGTTTTGTTCTTGTTCTTTTTTTTTTTTTTCTTTTTTTTTCTTCGCTTGTCGCCAAGTC